TAGTGGCTGCCCATCTTCGAAGGATAGGAGTCGTTATCTTCCCCTACCTCGACGATTGCCTCATCAAGGCACGCACCCAGTTAGAGGCTCAGCACATGGTAGTCGCAACTCAGGAGTTGTTCAACTCCCTCGGCCTTATCGTGAACACTCAAAAATCACGCCCACTACCAACACAGATTTTAAACTTCATAGGAGCGCGTCTCGACTCCCAGTCGGAAAGAGTCCACCTTCCACTCGAGCGTTTTCAAGTAATGCAAGACCTGATAAAAACAGTCTTGCAAGCTCCAATGCTCCCGGTACGCGTGTGTCTACAGCTTCTGGGACATATGGCTTCCACAACAATCATAGTGCGCCATTCAAGACTACACCTCAGGTGTCTGCAGCATTGGCTAAGCACGGTTTACAAGCCTACGGACCACAGCATCCGCAAGACTGTGGTACTTCCAGTACATGTCAAGGACTCCCTAGTATGGTGGACGAATCACAAGAACATGCTGTCAGGAGTCCCCTTCCATGCACCACAACCGTCACGAGAGATAACCACAGACGCTTCTCTCATCGGCTGGGGTGCCCACATGGGCACAAAAACAGTTCAGGGTCGTTGGTCCACGACGGAGATGATGCTCCATATCAATCTTCTCGAGCTTCGAGCCGTGTTTCGTGCCTGCAAACACTTCAAGGTATACATAAGAGGCACTGTCACCAGGATTCTCACAGACAATGTAGTGGCAATGTATTACGTGAACAGACAGGGCGGTGCCCAATCCCGTTCACTTTGTGCAGAAGCGATCCGCCTCTGGAAATGGTGCATTCGAAACAACATCTCTATAGTCGCGTCATACTTACCGGGTGTGAGCAATACCACAGCGGATGCACTGAGCAGGTATTTCCCCCAGGACCACGAGTGGGTGATCCGCACAGATGTCATCTTAACTCTCTTCCATCAGTGGGGGTTTCCGGTGATAGATCTCTTCGCAACACATGCCAACGCGAAATGCACAGCTTACTGTTCCAGAGCGGGAGTGGGACCTCACTCTCTGGGAGACGCATTCCTCCTTCACTGGGGCACATCACTCTTGTATGCATTCCCCCCTGATGGACAGGGCACGAGTGATACTCATAGCCCCAGCGTGGCCCAGGCAGCCATGGTACTCAACTCTTCGGCAGCTCTCCGTACGAGCACCGCACCGACTACCTTGTCTACCGGACTTGCTGACACAACAGAGAGGCTCCCTGCGTCACCCAAAGCTGGATACTCTGCACCTCACTGCATGGATGGTACATGGTTCAGCGAGTCCGAGAATCTTTGTTCGGACCAGGTGAAGCGTGTTCTCCTGCACAGCAGGAGAGATTCCACCAGGAAAACTTACCTGTCAAAGTGGTCCAGATTTGTACGATGGTGTGCTCCTAAACTCCTGGATCCCTTGCTTTCGCCGATGCATGTATTATTGGACTATGTCCTCCAGCTGCAGGCAACCGGACTAGCCATTTCATCACTTAAGGTCCACATAGCGGCAATAGCTGCTTTTCACTACCCCGTTGAAGGCAAGTCGGTTTTTTCTCACCCCATGATGGTTAGATTTCTCAGAGGATTGGCTAACCTCAACCCACCACGGAGACCTCCGCCACCTGTATGGAGTCTTGACCTGGTTATCGATGTCCTCACTGGGCCACCGTTTGAACCGCTGGCCACGGTACCGCTACCGATGCTTACGATGAAGGTACTTTTTCTTCTGGCTATAACATCAGCACGCAGGGTGAGCGAGTTATCCGCACTAATGTCAACACCTCCCTATACAGTCTTCAACCCGGAATCAGTGATACTGAGGTCTCATCCAGCCTTTCTACCTAAAGTCTGTACGGAATTTCACATAAACGAACCAATCGTTCTGCCATGTTTCTACCCAAAACCGCATGCATCTCAGCGAGACGCTCTCCTGCATACGCTTGATGTCCGTAGAGCTCTGGCTTTCTATATAGACAGAACCCGTGCTTTACGTAAGACAGACCGCCTCTTCATTTCAACATCGGGGCCTTCTAGGGGCAAGTTCTTATCCGCCCAGCGCATTTCTAAACTGGTTGTCTCTTGTATCACGACTTGCTATACTATCTGTAAGAAGTCTCTCACCTCGCAGCCTAGAGCTCACTCAACACGAGCAGTTGCTGCGTCTACAGCTTTCGTGAAAGGTGTCCCTCTTTGTGACATCTGCCGGGCTGCGACTTGGTCTTCTACTTCTACCTTTTCAAGACATTATGCAATTGTTCAGCACTTCGCCTCTGACTCAGCAGTAGCCATGGCAGTGTTGCCTGCTCCTCAGAATACCGATTCCGAAACACGCGTTTAACCGAGATTACTGCTTCGGAGTCACCAGAAGTGGAGCACCCACGGGGACTACCCGAAGAAGAAAAGGAAGTTACTCACTTCGTGCAGTAACGATCGTTCTTCGAGGTGTGTCCCCGTGGGTGCTCCATGACCCGCCCTCCTCCCTGCTTCGGAATCTTGTCTTTCTGTCTTTCAGATAGGCGGTAAGACGAACTGGCGGGAGCCGGACAGCGCGCAGCAGATGAAAGGCGCGAAACGAGAGTGCACGCACGCGGTCTGGCCACACAGCTCTGTAAAGCTCCGATTTGCGGCGCCGGGACCAGCCCGACACCAGAAGTGGAGCACCCACGGGGACACACCTCGAAGAACGATCGTTACTGCACGAAGTGAGTAACTTCCTTTTAGCCTTCTTGGCTACAAGGGCACACTGTTGACTCATATCCAGCTTCTCATCCACTGTAACCCTCAGGTCCTTTTCTGCAGAACTACTGCTTAACTGGTTGGTCCCCAGCCTGTAACAATGCTTGGGATTCTTCCGTCCCAAGTACAGGACTCTGCACTTGTCCTTGTTGAACCTCATCAGATTTCTTGTGGCCCAAGTTCTTGCGGCTCAGTTCCTTCTCTGCCGTCTTCAGCAGCAGATGGAGCTCCCCTTCAGTCATCCTCTTTCAACCCGAAACAACAAAAATCATTAAATTCCCACTGTTTTTCTCTCATATCCGAGTTTTTATGCCTTCCTTTCCTGTTCATTTAATAAAAAAGTTTTCTTCGTTGTTCTTTCACTTCAAAATGGCTGGCTCTCCACACTTTAAACACAGCAACTCTTGTTACAAAGCCATGCCAGCGTCTGACACTGCATAAAGTGTCTAGGAGAGGCACATCTGGTGCAGAAGTGCTCCCATGGCTCGAACCTCACAGCCAGAGAGAGACAGGACCGCGCCAACAAACTGAAAACTTTCCTGTATGAGAAGTCGTTACAACCTTTGCGTGGTGACTCTCCCTCCAAAAACAAGGACATAGACAAGACCGGATGCATGGAGCAAAGTCATCCCTCTACCTCTTCTGACAAGGCAAAGGCAAATGCTCAAGTCTTTCCAGCTAAATCGCTGCCCCCTGCACCAAGCTCATTTAGGGTGTATGAAGGCGACAAGCCACGGCACCACCTAAACAACCGGGGCCACACAAGAGGGCCCACTCTGAGCCCAGGCATAAGTCGTCAGCACTGGCAGCCCCGTCATCCATAGCGCCGACCAAACATCATAGATCAGCACTGAAGACGGCACCGGATGTGGCACCCGAGAGACCCCGCACCTACATGCCTCCTCCTAGGGTGCTGACGCTGACCCCATCCTCAGCACCATGACATAACTGAAAGACCATCTCAGACATTCTATGGCACAGATATCCTGTGATTCCTCATGTCGATGGGCAGGCCCCCTCAACGGTCCCTTTTGCAGGGCAAACATAGTCCATAGGCTCAGTTCCTAGCAAATGTCCCTGGATCAAAGTTAGGGTTGCCAGGTGTCCAGTATTCACCCGGACAGTCTGGTATTTTCGCCTCTTGTCCGGTAAAAAAATTCAGAGAATACCGAACACCTAAAATGTCGGGTATTTTCTGATTTTTTTCCCCAGCCAGGATGCAAAAATGCCGGGCACCTGGCAACCCTACAAACACTCAGCGCCCTGCCTCTCCCCCAAGACTCCCCCTGGCTCCTAACATTCCCAGCCCCCACGCTTATCTGGTTCCGAAAATTAACCATGAGGAGTAACGTTAGTTCAAACCAAGGGGTTTGGTTCAAACTAACACGTCCCGGCGTGCACTTTCACTTTTGAAACAGCTGTTGATCGGAGTAACGTGCCGGCGAGATCATGCTAATGAAGCGTGGGATATTTAAATCACCGCTTCACTGACTATTTCGAATGCCTACATTTGCATCCATAGTTCGAACTAGGGTGCAAGTGTAGACATACCCCCAGAGTGAAGCACCCATGGGCCTATCACTTGAAGAAAAAAGGAGAGTTATTCACCCTGGGCAGTAACGGGGGTTCTCCGAGATGTGTGTCCCTTGGGTGCTCCACTACCCTCCCTTCTTCCCCTGCTTTGGAGCCTCTTTGGGGCTAGAACCAAGGTAGAGAAGGAGCAGAGGCCCTGTGCCATGCACACGCCTAGCAAACACCAGTGGCACAAGGAGATGCTACTGTGTATGTGTGGTGCGGTGGTGCACTGCTAGAAAAATCTCCGGTCTCTGGCACGAGGACGCATCAGCACCCACCGGGACACATCTTGAAGAACCCCCGTTACCGCTCAGGGGAGTAACTCTCTTATCCCTTCCCCCTTTTCTCTCCTGTCTATTGGGATCATAAGCACTTCGGGACAGGGCCGGTCTCACTGAGGGTGCCTAGCAGCATGTGCTCAGCTCTTTTTCTAGCACAACCACAGCAAACACGCTAAGGGCATAACCACGTCTCCTTGCTTGATTCTGTGTAGGCCTGGGGCTTGCCAGTGACTGGGGGGGGGCATCATTTTGCAGAAGCCAAAAGTGCAATGCCTTGAAAGGAGGCTGATTCTCAGAAGGGAGCCCCCGCACTTGGGAATCTGTGGCCCTCTCAGATGCCTTATGTTGGGCATCCCAAGGCAAAGACTCGCTTTTGGGACTCTGGACCAGCTGCATTTTAAATGTATTTACCCGCCAACCAAGCCTGGGTGTCCTGTGTGCTGGTGCCACCCTCGCTGTGGCCAGGGCTGGTCTTAGTGACTCTCCATAGACCCCCATAGGTGCAGGAAGGACCAGGGGGGGTTGCAACACCCCTGAATTGAAGTGGTTTCCAGTATATCCAGGATTTACAGTTGGGTTCAATGGCCCCAGCACCCCCACTATACAGACTGTTCCCCCACCACTGCAGACCCAGCAGTGACTGGACACGTCTCCTTTCTGCTTGTTGCTCTTCCCTCCTCTATTATGACTGATGCATGGAACGGCCCAATGGGATTGCTAGGCTAAATGAGGGAGGCTAGACACACGCTGCTGAGAGAAGGGACAGCGCTGAAGGGTTTTCTGAAACTTCGGGGCTCGGTTCGCTCTGCTCCCGACGAAGTTAGTGGGAGCAGCCCGTGTGCTCTGAAACAATCTCGTCCCCCACATGCAAGGTGTGCAGCACAAACAGGCAAGTCTGCACAGGCAGGGCATGGGCGAGGATGCATTTCCCTGGAAGTGATGCCCTGGGGTGAAGAATCCTTCGCTTGGCGTGCCTCACAGGGCGCGTATCTCTGCCAGCGCCATGCTTGCTTCTCGGTGCTTTACTACTTTCGCTCTGTGCAGCATTGTTGCTTTTGCCAAGACGGGTGGCTCAGGTAGGCAAAATTTTGCTCGTTTTTGCTTTCTTTGCAGGCTGAGAAGTGACTGGAGCAGTGAAGGGATCATAATGCTGTATCCTTAGAGCAGAGAGGTTGCGGGCGGCAGCCTTGTTTGCCCTGGAGCCAAGCCAGATCCCCAGGATTACTTAGCTGAGGCTTATAACAGCCCCGCTGCAAGGGGGAAAGTGGTCTGCAAAGCTTAGGGCACGTGAGTGCCACCTGGCACTAGTGTAAATGGGGAGCGACACACCTGCAGCCCGTGATGTAAAACTGTGTGAAAGTGGCATAGGCGTGGGAACTAGGTTTGCGGGAGGGTGCTGTAGCACCTCTGGGCTCTCCACCGCCACCCCACGTGCCAGGAGCTCGGCTTCCATCCCCTTGCCAGCTGGCTTTGCTGCCAGCCCCATGCGCCAGGGAGTTCTGCCAGTGCTTGCCCATGGTCCTGGCTGCTGGACTGTGTACCAGGGCTTTGCTCCTGACCTCTGCCCCGGGGGAGGGGTGAACAGGGGTAAGGGCCCTGGATTTCACACACTCCCCTCCCCCACTTAAAAATGTCCCTATTCCTAACGGCCTGTTGAGGCCCGTCCTCAGCACCTGATCTGAAAAATGCGCCAGCCTGACTCCCGCCTTGTGCCCTAGTGAAGTCGCCAGCCATGGCCCTGCCCCCTGGCATTCTGCATGAATCACCCAACTGTCTGCTCAGACTCTCCCCTCCGGCAGCTTGGTTCTTGTGTGAGAAGTGCTGGCAGCGATGTTCACCTCCCATCGCTTTAAATGGCAGTTAGGGGCCTGCAACCCTTTGGCGATCTGGGTCTCCACTCTGCTCGGGACCAGACCTCTCCTGGGGGGACAGGGAACAGAGACACCTGGCCTGATAATCAGTGAGAGCCCATGAACACGTCGCAGCGTGTGAATATAGCAAGGTGTGATCGCCAGGTGAACCCAGCTGCAAAAAACAATGCCCCCTCCCCCACTTCATTCCCAGCCCAACATTACTTAATAGTATCTAGAGCTGCCGCAAGCTCCTGTTTGCGCTGGGGTACCCGTGTGACTCCGTGTACTGGGGTCTTTGAAGAGGGGGAGAGTATGGCAGGGACCTTGTGGACGGGAAGGGGAGAATTACATTCAGGGATCACACACTGATGCTGAAACTTTGAGTGAGGTCACTGCAGCCTTTGTGCGGGAAAAAAAGCTTTGCTTGTGCAAGGACTGCAGCCGTGGTCAGCCAGCAAGTCAGGTTCATTATCCATGACAAGCCGATTTTTGTTGGAAGACCAGGTATAGGAAAGAGCTAGGTGTGTTCTGTAAGTCTCTCCTGGTTCTAACCCTGTATTCAACTAGGTCGCCTCACAGGCACTGCCATTATCACTACAGAGTCTCGCAAGCACTGCTGTCGTTACAAATGGGGAAACTGAGGCAATGAAGGCACATAGGAAATCTCTGGCAGAGCCAGGAACAGAAGGCAGGCCTGCTAGGGTTTGTCTCCACTGCACGAGGGAGCATGACTTCTAGCCCAGGCACATGCTAGCACGCAAAGAGTAATAGTGTGGACCTCGTGGCTGAGGCAGCTGCATCCGGGCTACCAAGCTGTGCTTGGATCCAGGGTGTCAGGAAGGCTTAGAATTGGGCAGCAGGTCTGAGCTCCAACCCATGTTGCAGTGTCCATGCGGCTATTTGTTAGCATACTAGCTTGAGCGGAGCTAACGTGAGTCGGTCTTCCCAGCCTGGCAGGCTTCCCTTAGTGCCCAGCGCTGTGTTTTAACCACCAGACCATTTCTTCCTCCAAAAGTAACAGAGCAAATGTAAACCTGCTACTGCCAAAACCTGCATTCACTCTTCTGTCTTCCTCCCTTTGCAGCAGAGAGTGCTGGATATTTACGGTCGTTCACAAAGTACCACGAGAGAGTGTCTTATGACAGAGCAGCTTTAGAATGGATGCATCAGAGGGCAAAAAGAGCCACAGAAGAGCATGACAAAATTGTTCATCTAGAATTTCAGGCATATCAGAGGTACCTTTATTCTGTCTCTTTAAGGACAGTGAGTGTATATGGGTAGAATCCTACTTGGGTTAAAGTCGCTGCCGTTTGCAAACCATTAATAAGCTGAAACCAAGCTGATCTGCTCTATATGGACCTACATGTCTGCTGCAGGAACTGAGATAACACATTTGCTCACTCTGCTTTGTTTTGGACTGTAGACATGGTATTATTATTACTGATCGCTTGTACCAGCACCAGCGTGATTACTTGCAGGCCCTTTGAATATATGGAGCAGGACCTATTTATGTATAAACCTATATACTGGGTGGTGCAAAAAAGGACATTACTGACTTCACTATGGTGCATGGTTTAAAACGGACGGACAAATTTCAACGTGATTTGTATATGTCGTAAGGAACATTTGACTTCTACAAAACAAGTGTCTGTACTTAGGTATTTTTAATATAATTGGAACTTTTAATCATTATTGTTTTAATAGGTAATAAAATAAATTGTCTAACTCTCCCGTACATGCGAAAAGAGCCTGGAGCAGCACCTATAATCAAGTGTGGGCCTGTACGTGGGGTAACCGACTGCACATACCTAATGCCAGCCATGTACCAGGGTAGCCCCTGGGAGCTCCGGTCACAAACCAGCACCCCTGAAGTTGTGTGACCAACTCTTCACCTTTTCACTTACCTTCCAGGACATTCAAGCTGAGATTAAGCAGGGACACAAGCGCCTTTGCCAGCGACTTTGAGGTAATGGGGATGGCCACCTCAGAGCCTGCAGATGTTTCTTTCGTTTACTCCGGTGTCTTGCAAGGTAAACATTAAACCCAGCCCTGCAGAATGAAATCCTGCACTAGGATGGCCAGAGCTGGGCACGCAGGCGAGGGGAACTCCAGGGCCCCTTCTATTTCAGGTCTTTTCACTTAGTAGTGCTGGTGGTTCAATGCTGCAAGCCCCTATCTGCTGCTACATGGGCTGAAACCCAGCAGACTCGTTCCACCAAAGCCACAGACAGCAATACAGATCTCAATTGTACTAACAGCAATTTGGGGTCCTGATTTGATTATGCGTTGTACTGCCAACGTTCCCAGGCATTGGTGACTTGTAGTAGCACACGACCAAAATTAAATGGGGTGTTCCACTTGCCTCCCCCCCATTCCTCTGAGTGGCTCTCCCTGCAGCCACTTCCCGCACAGGAACCAATTATCCATGTTCCCAGGAGCCAGCCGACAGACTAGCAGTATGACATGGAGGTCTGAGTTTGGTCTGGCACAGCCTGGAGTGTCAGCAGTGGCTGGGAACATTGCCAGGTGCCCACACCATACTCAGGGTAGGGAGCCTTTTGATTGCCCGGTGGCCATTGTAGCAGGAACCTCCATGGCTCCAGCCACCAGAAGGGCATTCACAGTGATGAAGAGTCTTGAAAGAAGGGGTGGAACGGAGGGGGAAGGGTGGATTTGGAGCCTAAAGGGGGGACCATGTGAAGCATTTGGATCCTAGCAGCTCAATGGGGCAGAATTCATCCGGGGCTGCAGTGCTGTGGATACGTGCATGTGCATGCACACTGCAAGCATGCAGCTTCTTGGGGTGCATGTCCACAGGGAGCAAGGAAGGGCTCTGTAATATCTTACCAGCCAATACTGCACTAGAGAGCCACTAAAACTGCCAGACAAGGAGCAGTGCTGGGGCCCTATTGCTGGGGAAAGACCCAAAGGCTGGAGTAGGCAGGGGCCGAGGGTTCCATATCCTCTTTGCTGGAGGATAGTTAATGTGACGCCAATTTTAAAAAAGGGCTCTAGAGGTAATTACAGGCTAATTAGTCTAATTTCAGTACCAGGAAAATTGGTTGAAACTGTCGTAAAGAACAGAATTGTCAAACACATATGAACATAATTTGTTGGGGGAAAGGTTTCTGTAAAGGGAAATAGCGCCTCACCAATCTACTCCAATTCATTGAGGCGGTCAACAAGCATGTGGACAAAGGGGATCCAGGGAATATAGTGTGTTTAGATTTCCAGAGAGCCTTCGACAAGGTCTTTCACCAAAGTCTCCTAAGCAAAGGAAGCTATTGTGGGATAAGAGGGAAGCTCCTTCCATGGATTGGGTAAAAGATAGTAAACAAAGGGTAGGAATAAATAGTCAGTTTTCAGAATGGAGAGAGGTAACTAGTGTTGTCCCATAGGGGTCCATACTGGGGTCAATGCTGTTCAACATCTTCATAAATGATCTGGAGAAAGGGGTGAACATTGAGGTGGCAAAATTTGCAGATGATACCAAGCAGACTTTGAAGAGCTTCAAAAGGATCTCACAAAACTAGGTGACTGGGCAACAAAACGGCAGATGAATTTTAATGCTAATAAATTCAAAGTAATGCACATTGGAAAAAATAATCCCAACTAGATTACTGATATAATAGGCATCACAGAAATCTGGTAGCGTGAGGACAATTAATGGGACACAATCATTCCGGGGTACAAAATATATCAGAAGGACAGAAAGGTCGTGCAGGTGGAGGAGTGGCACTATATGTGAAAGAAAATTTAGAATCAAATGAAGTAAAAATCTTAAATGAATCAACATGTTCCATAGAATCACTATGGATAGTAATTCCCTGCTCTAATAAGAATATAACAGTAGGGCTCTATTATCGACCACCTGACCGGTACAGTAATAGTGACTATGAAATGCTAAGGGAGATTATAGAAAGGCTATCAAAATTAAGAACTCAGTAATAGTGGGGGATTTCAACTATCCCCATATTGACTGGGTACACGTCACCTCAAGACAAGATGCAGAGGCAAAATTTCTTGATAAATTAAACAACTGCTTCGTGAAGCAGCTGGTACAGGAACCCACAAGGGGAGAGGCAATTCTTGATTTAGTCCTGAGTGGCATGCAGGATCTGTTCCAAGAGGTAACTATAACAGGACCGCTTGGAAATAGTGACCATAATATAACAACATTTAACATTCATGTAGTGGGAAGAACACCTCAGAAGCCCAACACTGTGGTATTTAATTTCAAAAAGGGGAACTATGCAAAAATGAGGAGGTTAGTTAAACAGAAATTAAAAGGTACAGTGACTAAAGTAAAATCCCTGCAAACTGCATGGACACTTTTCAAAGACCCCATAATAGAGGCCCAACTTAAATGTATACCCCAAATTAAAAATCGTAGTAGAAGAACTAAAAAAGAGCCACGGTGAGTTAACAACCATGTAAAAGAAGCAGTGAGAGATGAAAAGACATCTTTTAAAAAGTGGAAGTCAGATCTTAGTGAGATAAATAGAAAGGAGCATAAACACTGCCAAATTAAGTATAAAGATGTACTGTAATAAGAAAAGCCAAAAAGGAGTTTGAAGAACAGCTAGCCCAAAACTCAAAAGGTAATAACAAAACATTTTTTAAGTACATCAAAAACAGGAAGCCTGCTAAATAACCAGTGGGGCCCCTGGATGATTGAGATACAAAAGGAGCACTTAAAGACGATAAAGTAATTGAGGAGAAATTAAATGAATTATTTGCTTCAGTCTTCACAGCTAAGGATGTTAGGGAGATTCCCAAATCTGATCCATCCTTTGTAGGTGACAAATCTGAGGACTTGTCACAGATTGAAGTGTCATTAGAGGAGATTTTGGAATTAATTGATAAACTTAACAATAACAAGTCACTGGGACCAGATAGCATTCACCTAAGAGTTCTGAAAGAGCTCAAACATGAAATTGCGGAACTATTAATTATGGTGTGAAACCTATCCTTTAAATAAGCTTCTATACTCAATGACTGGAAGATAGCTAATGTAACGCCAATATTTAAAAAGGCCTCTAGAGGTGATCTTGGCAATTACAGACCGGTAAGTCTAATGTCAATACTGGGCAAATTAGTTGAAACAATAGTAAAGAATAAAATTGTCAGACACATAGAAGAACATAATTTGTTGGGCAAAAGTCACATGGTTTCTGTAAAGGGAAATCATGTCTTACTAGTCTATTAGAGTTCTTTGAAGGGGTCAACAAACACATGGGCAAGGGGGATCCAGTAGATATAGTGTACTTAGATTTCCAGAAAGCCTTTGACAAGGTCCCTCACCAAAGGCTCTTGCGTAAATTAAGTTGTCATGGGATAAGAGGAAAGATCCTTACATGGACTGAGAACCGGTTAAAAGACAGGAAACAAAGGGTAGGAATAAATGGTAAACTTTCAGAATGGAGAGGGGTAACTTGTGGGCTGTGTCTACACTGGCAAGTTATTCCGGAAAATCAGCTGCTTTTTCGGAAAAACTTGCCAGCTGTCTACACTGGCCGCTTGAATTTCCGGAAGAGCACTGACAATCTAATGTAAAATCATCAGTGCTTTTCCGGAAAAACTATGCTGCTCCCGTTCGGGCAAAAGTCTTTTTCCAGAAAACTGTTCCAGAATAGGGCCAGTGTAGACAGCACAGTAGTGTTTTCTGCAAAAAAGCCCCGATCGCGAAAATGACGATCGGGGCTTTTTTGAGGAAAAGCGCGTCTAGATTGGCCACAGACGCTTTTCCGCAAAAAGTGCTTTTCCTCAAAACCGTCCTGCCAATCTAGATGCGCTTTTCCGAAAATCATGCCAGTGTAGACGTAGCTGTGGTGTTCCCCAGCGGTCAGTCCTAGGACCAATCCTATTCAACTTATTCATAAATGATCTGAAGAAAGGGGTAAGCAGTGAGGTGGCAAAGTTTGCAGACGATACTAAACTGCTCAAGGTAGTTAAGACCAAAGCAGACTGTGAAGAACTTCAAAAAGATCTCACCAAACTAAGTGATTGGGCAACAAAATGGCAAATTAAATTTAAATTGGAGAAATGTAAAGTAATACACACGGGAAAAAATAACCCCAACTATATATACAATATGATGGGGGCTAATTTAGCTACAACTAATCAGGAAAGAAATCTTGGAGTCATCATGGATAGTTCTCTGAAGATGTCCACACAGTGTGCAATGACAGTCAAAAAAGCAAACAGGATGTTAGGAATCATTAAAAAAGGGATAAAAAATAAGACGGAGAATATCTTATTGCCCTTATATAAAACCATGGTACGCCCACATCTTGAATACTGCGGACAGATGTGGTCTCCTCATCGCAAAAAAAGATATACTGGCATTAGAAAAGGTTCAGAGAAGGACAACTAAAATGATTAGGGGTTTGGAATGGATCCCATATGAGGAAAGATTAAAGAGACTAGGACTTTTCAGCTTAGAAAAGAGGAGACTAAGGGGGGATATGATAGAGGTCTATAAAATCATGAGTGGTGTGGAGAAAGTGAATAAGGAAAAGTTATTTACTTGTTTCCATAATATAAGAACTAGGGGCCACCAGATGAAACTAATGGGCATCAGGTTTAAAACAAATAAAAGGAAGTTCTTCTTCACATGGCGCACAGTCAACCTGTGGAACTCCTTGCCTGAGGAGGTTGTGAAGGCTAGGATTATAACAGGGTTTAAAAGAGAACTAGATACATTCATGGAGGTTAAGTCCATTAATGGCTATTAGCCAGGATGGGTAAGGAATGGTGTCCCTAGCCTCTGTTTGTCAGAGGGTAGAGATGGATGGCAGGAGAGAGATCACTTGATCATTACCTGTTTGATTCTCTCCCTCTGGAACACCTGGCATTGGCCACTGTTGGCAGACAGGGTACTGGGCTTTGGTCTGACCCAGTGTGGCCATTCTTATGTTCTTATATGTCTAAAATGATGGGGCCTAATTTAACTGTTGTCAATCTAGAGAGAGATCTTGGAATCATTGTGGATCGTTCTCTGAAAACATCCACTTGCTGTGCAGCAGCAGTCAAAAAAGCAAACAGATTGTTAGGAATCATTTTAAAAGGGATAGAGAATAAGACATAAAATATCTCATTGCCTCTGTATAAATCCATGATACGCCCACACCTTCAATACTGTGTGCAGATGTGGTCAGGGTCGACCTGAGCCATTTTGGCTCCCCGGGCTCTGGGCCCCAGGCGCGCAGTGCCACCCCTGGAGCGCACCGCATCTGCGCACAGGGCACATGTGCTGCCCAGTCGGCCCAGCCACCGCCGATGGCGCGCAGCCTGGGGCCCACCCAGGGCGGGCTGCGCCTGGCCATGCAGGGCCCTGTGGCCGTGGGGGGAAGGGCGCTGCTGGCTGGTGCTGCGGTGGTTAACACGGCCACTGCCCCAGGTGGCCGCTGCAGTCTGCCAGGAGCCAGGCGCCCCCCGTAGGTTGGTGGCCTGGGCAGCTGCCCAGCTAGCTCACCCCTTAATCCAGCCCTGGATGTGGTCACCTCATTTCAAAAATATATATCTTAGCATTGAAAAAAGTTCAGAAAATGGCAACCAAAATTATTCAGGCTATGGAAGGCTGACGTTAATAAAACTGAGATTTTCAGCTTAGAAAAGAGATTAAGGGGGGTTATGATAGAAATCTGTAAAATCATGGCTGGCGTGGAGAAAGTAAATAAGGAAAAGCGATTTACTTGTTCCCATAAGACAAGAACTAAGGGTCACCAAATGAAACCAATAGGTAGCAGGTTTAAAACCAACCAAAGGAAGTGTTTCTTCACACAGTGCACAGTCAACAGGTGGAACTCCTTGCCAGAGGATGTGAAGACCAGGACTTGAACAGGATTAAAAAAAAATGATATAAAGTCATGTATGTATTGTCCATCAATGGCTATTAGCCAGGATGGGCAGGAATAGCGTCCCTAGCCTCTGTTTGCCAGAAGCTGGGAATGGGCAACAGAGGATGGATTGATGGTTCCCTCATCTGCTCATTCCCTCTGGGGCCCTAGCATTCGTCACTGTCGGCAGACAGGACACTGGGCTAGAGGGACCTCTGGTCTGACCCAGTCTGGCTGTTCTTAGGTTCTAATGTCAGTATCCACAGCAGAGGTTTCTGGGATGTTGATACTTTTGCTCCACACCCAGAATCCAGGGGCCAGCCCTATCGCAGACATTAACAACTGATCTGTGTTATTAGCACCAGGCCCTTTTGTTACCCGGGGAACCAGGTAAAGCCTCCTTCTCATTGTCTCCATCTGGGTGCCTGTGGAACAGATGAGCCTGGTTCTTTCTGCCATGGCGCCATCGTCAATGGCCTTTTCGAGGGGTTTATCAGAACCAAGAACGGCACCTTCTACGTGGAGGCTTCCAGGGCATCTGCCAGCAATGAGACGTCTCCGGGCCATTCTCTCATCCACCGTGAGAGTGACATCGGTGAGCTCTCTCCTGGGCTTTGGCGCGACGGGTCAGAGTGAAACGCACTTGGGTCTCCCCTGCCGTCAGGGCCTGGTCCCTTTGCACTTCAGTCACAAGGCCTTTCCTCTCTTAGTCGCGAAGGGGATCAAACCCCTAGCCCAAGGCCATCTGCAGGCTGAGCACTTCCCCATTCTGACCACAAAACATTTTGAAAAAGTGATTTAACCCGGCCACTGTGGCTGCCAGTCAAGGGGTTGGGGGTGGGACACAGGCACTCACCCGTGCACAGCTCACAGCAGCATCCAGGTCCCCAGTGCCCACATTGTCTCAGCTGCAGAGGGCGCCACTTGGTCCGGGAAGCCAAACCGTCTGCCTCCACTGCAGCGCGAACCCAGCTGACCAGGGAGCTGCCCGAACTGAGGCCCTTCTGCAGCCGGTGGGGGGCAGGGAGGGTGGGTTTCACTTTCGGTTCCCTGAGCAGGGGTGGGAGATCCCAGTGCAAGGGTACGGATGCTAGTGGGAGAGGGGCACTGTCTTAGCTCCTGGACACACCATGAGACACTATCAATGTGCATGTACTGGACTGCCAGCCCCAAGAGTTCAAAACTCATGCATCTGGCCCCCCACCGCCCATAAAGAGAATGGTGTCTTGAAATCACAGATAAAAATGCACTTGGGATCTTCTGTTCAAGGTCTTCGGCTGAACTTGGGGCATGTTTTCCAGCTTTTCTCCTCGAACTATGAGACCTAAAAAGTCTCAGAGGGGTCACCGTGTTAGTCTGTAACTTTAAAAACAATGAGTGGTCCTGTGGCATCTTAGGGCATGTCTACACTAAGGATGTTAAATATCGATTAATTTACTAGTCGATTAGTTGATGGAATTTCCACAGAACTCCCCAGCTGACCCCAGGCTCTGCGCAGCATTTCAAAGCGGCAGCACCGCATGGAGCCCAGAGTCAGCAGGAGTGGATCCTGCCGCTTTGAAATGCACAAGAGCCCCTCTTTTGTGCATTTCAAAGCAGAAGCACCCGTGTAGAGCCTGGAGTCAGCAGGACTTCCCTCTGGCCCTGGGCTGCACACGGCATGACCGTTTTGAAATTTACAAGAATCCCCATCAGGGGCTCTTGTGCATTTCAAAGCAGAAGTGCCCACATGGAGCTTGGGGTCAGCGGGGGACTGAGAGTTGTCTGCTGACTCCAGGCTCCATGCTGCACTTCCGCTCTGAAATTCTTCATGAAGCCTGGGTCAGCTGGGGACTCCTCAACTGACCCCGGGTTCCATGGAAATGCTGCACGGAGCCCAGGATCCACGGAAATACTGCACAGAGCCCGGCATTTCAAAGCGGCAGCGCCACATGGAGCCCCCGGATTCCGTGCAGTGCTGCTGCTTTTAAGTACCCCCCCTTGCTGCCACTATCTGATAGAGGCAGCAGGGGGAGGAGCGACTAGTTGACTAGCCTGTTGACTATCCGATAAGCATTTGCTAGTTGTATGTTGTTAGTTGTATCTATCAGCACACAGTGATATTTCTTTGAGTAACACCTGAATTTCGGTTCTAGATTATTCTTCCTTCTTAGAAGATCCAGCCTCTGCTTTGTCAACTTGGAGAGCACACCAGGCCCTGCAGAATTTCCAACAGGAGCTCACGTTAAAGGTGAAATGAAATGGAAGGGAATCCTCTTAGTTGAAAATGAAATAAATGTAAGCAACGATTATGCTGCAAAAACCCCTACTGCCTGGGGCATTGATTGCTTTGAATTCACTGAACATGGGGACCGACAGCGTCCGTGGACCCCAGAGCAAGGTGTGGGGAGGCCGGCTCTGCGGCCCTGGAAGGAACATGAGGCCTTGGGCAGAAGAGGCAGGGTCGGGGCAGCCAGCTTCCAACGCCATTCAGATCACAGAACTAGGCCCCCTATCCTCGCAGGGCTGTGCAGGGCGTTTGGAGCGACTCCAGCAGGGATCAAATGGCCCAAGGCTCCAGCTGCTGCAGCAGCAGCATCTGGGAACCCCAGACCCCTTGGAATTGACGGGCCCCTGAGGGTCTGCTCTCCTCCCCTGCCCACCGTCGGAGGGCCTGACTAAATACAGTGTAGAATGTAACATGATGGCATTCTAGGGGCTTAGCTGTTCAGAAGCCTGGGTCTCATTATGGTCTGTAGCTTCCCAGATAGAAAGAAACGTGAGGCTAATTACATGATCCCACATAAGAATGTGGGATCCAGCTCAGAACTCCCTCTGCATTTGGGAGGAGAGCTGGTTGGTTGAAAGGAAAATGGAAACATGCCCACATTTTTTGTGAATTTTTAGAATGTGCAATTTTGTCAGAAATTTGAAATTAAAATAAAAAAGCAAACTGGAAACAAAAAAGGGCGGGTGTGTTGGGGAGGGAGAGGGACACACGCCATCAACATTTTTTCTTGCTTCCCTGCCCCGCTTCAAAAGTTCCTTGAAATTTCAGAATGTGAAAGATTTCCATCAGCTTTCTTTGGGAGAATTAGTATGTGTGGTTGTGGGGTGGAGGGGAGAGGCAGTTGTTTGGGCCCATGATATTTACTTTAGTTCAGGCAAAAACTCTCTGGGGTCTTGAGTCAAATTATAACTCCAAAACACTGGGTCAGGTTTCATCAGGTTCATTTAATGTTCCATCAAGTTTTAGGTCAAAAGGGACCATCTAGTCTGAGCTCCTGTATAGAATAGGCCATTATATTTCATTCAGCTCCAAAACTGCACACGATAGTCAAGTCCAAAGCAGACTGTGAAGCACTTCAAAAGGATCTCACAAAACTACGTGATTGTGCAACATAATGGCAGATGAATTTTATTGTTGATAAATGCAAAGTAATGCACATTGGAAAATATAATCCCAACTATACGTATAAAACGATGGGGACTAATTTAGCTGTTACCACCTGAGAGAGATCTTGAAGTCACTGTGATAGCTCTCTGAAAACATCCATTCAATGTGCAGCAGCAGTCATAGCAAAAGCAAACAATGTAGGGAATCATTAAAAAAGGGGCAGAGAATAAAACAGAGACCATCTTACTGGCTTTATATAAATCCATGGTACGCCCACATCTTGAATACTGTGAGCAATGGTCTCAAGTTACAGTGGGGGAGGTCTAGGTTGGATATTAGGAAAAACTATTTCACTAGAAGGGTGGTGAAGCACAGGGATGGGTTCCCTAGGGAGGTGGTAGAATCACCATCCCTAGAGGTTTTTAAGTCGCTGCTTGGTCCTGCTTTGGGCAGGGGGATGGACTTGATGACTCCTGAGGTCTCTTCCAACCCTAGGATTCTATGTCAGTGAGTAGTCGACTACCTGATAGGCATAAGCTTACCGGGTAGTCGAGTGAAGTATCGACTACTCGCTGGTCCGGGACGCTGCGCCTCTGCATTTTAAATGTAGTAAGAGCCCGCCCAGCGACTTTTACCACATTTAAAATTCAGAGCCACGGCACGGGGGCTCTTGGAGCTGACACGAGCCAGGACTGCTCAGTCCCAGCTTAAGCTGGCTCCTGGAGCTACCTCCATTGCGGCTGAGTAGAGCAGCCCTTATTGACTAATTGACACATGATTAGCCAGATAACCGCAAAGTAACATCCTTAGGGCAGATGTTGTGGCCTCATCTCCAAAAAGAGACCCTGACACTGGAAAACGTTCAGAAAAGGGCAACAACACAGATGAAGAGTGTGGAACGGCTGCCTTGTGAGGAGAGATTAGTAAAATGGGGACATGTCAGCTTGGAAAAGAGATGCCGAAGGGGGGATAGGCGAGAGGTTCAGGGAGGGAGCGCGGGGGACTCGGTATGGCCGTTCTTATGTCCTCCTGAGTCCAGCAAGCTGAGAGCAAAGCACCAAGGCCCCAGCAGAACTAAATTGTTGCATGTCACGGGCAAAGGGCAGACGAGGCCAACGTGCGCCATTGCCCGACGACCCTGCAGTGGCAGGGGATTGCTTAGGTGGAGTATGCTCAGGTACACTAGCAAGCGGTCTGTGCCCCATGTGGCAGAGGGAGGCAAAAAGCCCTTACAAACAGACTTCATTGCAGTTTGCCAGCCAGATAGATCTCTGGCTTCCATCAGACACCAGTCAAAGCGTGGGTGGTTTTCAGCTGAACTTGGCTCTGGAGTTGTTCTGAACCCAGGTCTTAGGACGGAAACCCAGAGGAGCTGGAGCAAATTAAAAGGTTAACATGAGTCCTCGGAAGGAATTTCCCCTCTGAGCAAACTTTGGCCTCTCCATTACCGTCCACTTGTGTTTGCGGCTGGTTCTGGCCTCACGCACGGGCAGGCCACTGACCTAGATGGACTATTGGTCTGATCCACTTGACCAGCGCCTGTGGCTTTGATTTAGAAAAGCAGCACTCTAGCAGAGCATTAATCACATATTGGACTTTACACACACGCGCATCAATCCCCTTGACTTTGCTGAATCGGGGCCTACGTTCCTAACTGAACCTGCTGCCATTTTGTTCAACTTTCCCTGAGAATATTCCTATGGACTTCTTACCTCCTACCAAACAGGGAGAAACCTTGGAAAGGCAGAGGAGGAGTTTGGATCACTCTAGGACATCCTGCCTGCTACACCTTCAAGCTGATTACTTGTTCTACCAAAGATTTGGCACCACAGAAGCAGTGATTGCTCAGGTAAGAAATACGGTGTTATTAATTAATTAGTTTGCATTGATTTTCATTGTGTAATCCAAAAAGAACATTTGATGAATATGTTGTTATGCTGTATCAAATATTACTACTGTAATTTCAGTTCCCATCCATTCATGCACCACTGAAGTGCAGCCACCTCTGGTGGAAGAACATGCCAGCTGTTTAATAGTACACATAGCCAACACTCTGAAATGGGTTTGACCGCATCTTCAGTACAGTGGTTTTCCCACTGATGTAGGTGATCCACCTCTCCAGGAAGTGGAGGCCAAGTGGATGGAAGAATTGTGGTCTTAACCTAGCCATGTTTAAGCAGAGGTTAGGGTTAACTTAACTACAGTGACATTTTTCACAGCCCTGAGTCCTCTCACTAGGTTGATCTCATTTTTAAGTGAAGACCAGATCTTAGAGACATGAGCTGTAGAACTAAAACTACAAAGCAGCAGCAATTTATGCTTGAGAGGTTTTTGTGGATTTCATAGGATCATAAAATATTAGAACTGGAAGGGACCTTGAGAGGTCATTGAGACTAGTCCCCTGTACTCATGACAGGACCAAGCACCATCTAAATCATCCCTGACAGGTGTCTGTCTAACCTGCTCTTAAATATCTGCAATGATGGAGATTCCACTTCCTCCCCAGGCAATTTATTTCAGTGTTTAACCACCCTGACAGGTAGGGAGTTTTTCCTAATGTCCAACCCAAACCTCCCTTGCTGCAATTTAAGCCCATTGCTTCTTGTCCTATCATCAGAGGGTAAGGAGAACACTCTTTTAGATACTTGAAAGTACTATTACTGCTATTACGTCCCCACTCAGTCTTCTCTTTTCCAAACTCCACAAACCCAGTTCTTTCAATCTTCTCTCCTACGTCACATTTTCTAGACCTTTAATCATTCTTGTTGCTCTTCTCTGGACCTTCTTCAATTTCTCCACATCTTCCTTGAAATGTGGTGCCCAGAACTGGACACAATACTCCAATTGAGGCCTAATCAGCACAGAATAGAGCAGTAGAATGATTTCTTGTGTCTTGGTTACAACACTCCTGTTAATGCGTCCCAGAATGATGTTGCAACAATGTTACCCTATTGACTCATATTTAGCTTGTGGTCCACTTTGACCCCTAGATCCCTTTCTGCCGTACTCCTTCCTAGACAGTCGCTTCCCATTCTGTATGTGTGAGACTGACTGTTGCTTCCTACGTGGAGCACTTTGCATTTGTCCTTATTCAACTTCATCCTATTTACCTCAGACCATTTCTCCTATTTGTCCAGATGACTTTGAATTATGACCATGTCCTCCAGAGCACTTGCAATCCTTCCCAGCTTGAACTAAGGAGGTCTGGTCAGTTCCTGGCTCTTTTGCCAACTTCCTGGGTGGCCTGTGGCAAGTCACTTCATCTCTCTGGGCCCTTTCTCTAAATTCCTATCTCTAAAATGGGGATCATCGTCCTTTGCCTTGCCCATTTTGATTACAAGTGTTTAACACAACAGGCCCTGACTGTGAATGGGGACTTTTGGGGCAACTGCCCTAGAAATAAGATGACGTTTTAGGTATATTAACATCGGGGGACTGGAATGAGGCACTCATCTGCCCTGTAGGACTTGCTATAGCATTTTGCTAAAGTGCTTTTAATTAGATTGTGAACTAACTTTCCATAAAGCTGAATCTTTTTTCTGCCCCATCAGAGCAGAAACAATAAGATCATCTACCTGCGTTTTCCTTTCTGCTTTCGATCAGTTCACATGTGAGGAGTATAAAACTTCCCTGTCACCGAGTGCTTTTCATCAGCAGTTCTCAAAGGTTTCACAAAGGACATCAGTATCACGACCTCTGTTTCACAGGAGGGGAAATGGAGGCACCATGTATTGACATGGTGACCTAAGGTCATCTAATAGGCTAGTGGCAGAGCCAGAAATAATTTAAAAACAACAAACAGATCTTTTCAGTTGCACTCCAGGGCTTAGGGCACAAAAAGGTTTCTTTTTTTCCCTCCCAGTTATATTAACATTTCTGTCTTCCCCACAGATTTCTAGCTACATAAAAGCTGTGAATGCAATTTACGAAAACACAGATTTTAATGGTATCAGGAACATCGACTTCAAAGTGAAAACACTAAATGTAAGTTGGCAGGGCACTTGGGCTGGATTTGTTTCTGGACTTGATGACCTTCTGAGGTCTCTTCCTGCTCTATGGTTTCAAACTCCAATGCCAGCACAGATGGATTTCAGATTGAATTTTCTAGTGGGCAGCTTCCTGCTGCAGAGTGAACAAAAACTAGCATGAGGTGATTTGAAGGAAACAGGATGGATCGGGGCAGTGTTCCCTGTAAGCTGTGCGCTTGTTCAGGAGAAATTTAAATGCGGCCGGCTAATTAGCAGAGTGCCAACAACTAGGGTTTTTTGTTTCTCCTGGTGGTGCACATTGAAACATGCCTTGGTGCCCATAAAATTATTCTGCACATGGATGGGAAAAGTCTGCACATAGATGGAAAAGATCAGAATGAGGGTCCTTCACTCTCAGGTTGCTCATTCAAAACTAATTTAGGGTGGCAGTGATTACATTTTTCATTGGGTGGCCTCTATGAAAGGAGACTGTAGAAACAATCACCCCTGCTCTGCATCACAGGCAGTAACTGCCTGGCTCGCTCGTGTTGTGTCTACTCTGTAGATAATCCAGGAAGACGATCCTTCTGACTCACCTTTCATCAGCCCCGAAATGCTGCTGTTGCTGCACTCCGAGTCCAACTGGGCCACCTATTGCCTCTCCTACCTCTTCACTGACAGGGATTACAGTGGAGTTCTTGGGATTGCTTTTAATGGACAAGCCGGTAGGAAAGAGCTTTTAGGTTATTTGTATTAAGTTTTGTCCAATGGTAAGTGGTGGTCATTATGACTATCTACACTGACATTTTTTTCCACAGAAGATATGCAAATGGAGCTCTCATTTGCATATCTTCTGCCAATCCTTTTTGCGGAAGAGGATTTGCTAATAAAAAGCCCTATGTAGGTGGGGCCATTTGTCGGAAAAAAACCCATTTTCGCAAGATCCCTTACTCCACAAAAAATGAGATTTACAGGATCTTGCAAAAAAGGGGGCAGTGTCGACATAGCCTTCGTGTTGCCAGGTGGTGATGTTATACATAGTCTTGCCTGGTTACAGAAATGTGGTGTTTGGTTTTGTGATATATTTGAATGTGGGAAAGCTGTTGCAAATAGCAAGAGAATTTCCTTTCTGAGTGTTTCAAACAAGAGTTGATTTTTGGGGCCGACTTGCTTGGGGCACTGTAGTTTGGGCAGGAAATTCTATCAGAAGCATTTCTGTGTGCTGTTTGTGACCACCTCTGTTCAAGGACAGGTGTCATAAATGGCACTTGGTAAGCACATGTCCTCTGCATCACTGAGTTCTCTCTTATAGGAAACCGAAAACCACTACTGCTGTTAGTATTAATGTAGTGCCTAAAGGCCCCACACATGAACATGAGCTAGATCAACGTACTCAGACTTGATCTTCTGCACCATCCCCCAGGCCCAGTGCTGTCCCTGGTCCAAGAGCTAAACACCTGCTTGAAATCCGACAGAGATTCAGGTGCTTCTGATTCAGGTGTTTTGCTCCCTGATTTTCCAGCTTGCATCCCCGAGAACCTCTGTTTTTCTTGTCTGTGTCAGGTGACTTGGGGGGAATATGTTCCAAGCACCGGAAATTCCAGGACAAGGAGCTTTCTCTCAACACCGGCTTGATCACACTGCAGACATATGGCCAATATTTGCCTCCTAGGCTTCTCCATATCACTCTGGCCCATGAACTTGGCCACAGCCTGGGCGCTCCGGTGAGTACAGCACCTGCATTACCCATTGGGAGTGACACTAAAAAGAAGAGCCGAACAGATGCTTGGTGGAGAAAACTGCAATAAATACATTGTATTTCCCAGGGATCGCAAAGCACTTTACAGATACAGGTCAACATCATTACCCGCTTTCTACAGGAAGGGAAACTGAGGCACAGAGCAGCTGCAAGCTCACTCAGGGATTCTGACCTGATGTGTGTGGTGGGGGTGGTACTATCCAGAACCTTTTCTACTGGCTCACTCATTTCCCACAGGGCTGTTCCAAAATCCTATAGAGTCACTGGGTAGTTTTGGATCAGGCCCTAAATCAGGATACACCTTAGTTTTGGAAGTGTGTCTGAAAAAAACGCTGGGCTCTGAGCATCCTGAAACCTTGCAGTCTGGGCTTATTGCCTAGTTTTTTCAAACTCTTGCTTCGAGGAATCTGGATGCAATGCCAAATGGCCAGTGTTCAAATGCTTAGCACACCTCCAGGACGGGGTGTGGTTGGCGCTCTGTTCATTACATGCATATCAATGGATTGGTTTGTATTGCTAACAGATTGCTGTGGAATGAATGTGTTGGCTTGCGTGGTTTGTGATAGTTCTTAGGCATGTGTAAGAAACATGGAGTTTACACTGATGGATTTGCTGGGTTACTAGCTTGTGCCTATGTTTGGCAAAGCTAGGGTAGGTTTAAGCTATGCTTGTGTGGCTGCCTGTGGAGGCATTCAGAATAACTGAGTTCCAGATGCTGCCTTAATGATTTTACCCCATGGTTTAAATAACTAGCTCCCCTGAAGCAGAATTCAGGTCCCAGCACTGTAGACTCAGATTCCATGAGACAGATACGTTGACTTGCTGTGCTCTGCTGAGCTGTTCTTCCAGCTAAAATCCAAGCTCTTGCCTTGATCTCATGGAGTTTTTTGCATTCGCTGGGTCAGGATCTTCCTTGAGCATTTGTCCTCCCTCAGACCCCTCACTGATCCCTGACGTGCTGGAAAAGTTGACTGAAAAGAGCAACAGTTTGCAAATATCAATGATGGCAGTGGGTGGATGATGAAATTAGACAGTGTTGGGCTGCTGTGTTCTGCCCTAGCGGTGGCTGCATTTGGTGGAGTGAAGTAGTTCCTGTGCCGTTGGTTTATTATTGTAGCAGTGGTGATTATTCATTATACAACATATTATATAATATATTGTTAATATGCACGATAATTACATTAACAACAACAACACAGGGCCCAACTGAGATTAGAGCCCGGTTGGGTTAGGTGCTGAATATACCTACAGTCTAAGAATTTGCCTATCTCGGGATTTTATTCCAAGCATCTTCCACGTCAAATCAATAGCAACAGTCAAGTGCCTAGCAGACTTTGCAGAGTCTGGGGCACTTCTCCCTTTTAGGGTCATAACTCAGGGGTCTTGGGAGTGTTTTCTTGGGTTTTAGTAAATAATGGACAAGCTAAAGGGGGGGAAACTGAGGCACGAAGTGGGGAAGGGACTTGTCCAAGGTCACCTACCAGGTGTGAGCAGAGCCAGAACTGGAACCCAGGGCTAGGGTACTAGATGACACTGACTCGCCATATAAAGTCTGTGAAACAATTTGAGATGGGTCTATTACATATTAATTTCAGCAAAGGATTGTCCTGTATATTAACATATGGGCTGCCAAGGATTCTAACCTTGTATTTGTCTTCAGCCAATAGAAGCGGCTCAATCTCTGTTCCCGTATTCAAAGGGGCTGATCTTTTGTTTCAGCATGATGAGACTGAAGCATGTGCCCGTTTCAGCTTCGACACCACCTATGGGAATTACCTGATGTTCAGCCGCGCCACGGATGGACAGCAATACAACAACGACAAATTCTCCCCGTGCAGCATTGAACACATTGGGAACATTCTGAGCACCAAGAAGGACCGGTGCTTTGTAGGCAAGACCCACTCGCCATGTTTACAGTCTGCCCTTATTTTGCAAATAACTCACTGGTTCTTTGCACAGAGCGAAGCTAGCTCTTACTCTAGGGAGCAATTTATAATAAAGGGGTAGGTTTTGCTTCACCAGAGTTGGAGGCAGGTTTCACAGGTGGCACATTATTTGCAAAAACTGGAATTAGTTATCCTGGAGACGGACATAGATATCACAGCTATGGTGGGTGGGGAGTTCATGAATAGAATTGAATCGAATAGAATCATACATGTGTATGGAAGGGACAGAAGAAGACAGGTGTGCATAAGGATAAATAGATTCAGAGAAGACTTGAGTTATTTAAAATTAGGAAGGGTCCAGTGACAATTGTTCAGCTTCTCTTTTTAGCAGGAATAAGGGGTTATTCTGTGAAACTGACAGCTGGTAAATTCACAACAAACCCAAGAAAAGATTCCCTCTGACACACAATAAATAGTAGCGGGGTCTGTTGTACACAAAAAGATTTTAAAAGCACACAAAAAACTAGATTTCACAGCTTGTGGCGCATGTTTCATGGTTGCAAATTTCGCAAGACCCTAAGAGGGGACACAGGGGCCAACTAACAGAGGGATAGCTGTGTTAGTCTGGATCTGCAAAAGTGACAAGGAGTCCTGTAGCACCTTATAGACTAACAGATGTATTGGAGCATAAGCTTTCGTGGGCAAAGACCCACTTTGTCAGATGGACCAGCAGGAGTCACGCCCTCGTTACAGGCCTTATTGGATATTGTCACCACGCATCAGGGGGCTGGCACTGCTAGACTAGCTGGTCCAAGGAGCTGACTTGGTACGACTGCGTACAGAGGCAGCCGTCTCCACAACTGTTTCCCTTTCTCAACTTTCTACCTGTTTTGCTCCTCCCTGGCAGAAACTGAGCGCCCCGTCTGTGGGAATCAACTCGTAGATCCAGGGGAGGAGTGTGATGTGGGGGACAGTTACTCTGATCCTTGCTGCTACGCTGCCAACGAGCCCAGTGGCATCCGGTGTAGGCTAAAGCCAGGAAAGCAGTGCAGGGAGCTGTCTGCTGTAGGGTTCTCCTCCTTTCCAGACCATACTTGGCGCGCCTTCCCCCCCCCCCCCCCCCCCCGTTCCACCTCACTTAAACTACTTGCTTACAAAATCTGACACAAATAGACAAGTCTCACAGCCACCGAAGGACTAAACAATTGCCAACTGTCTCATTTTCACTGCATGATTATAAAATAAATCAACTGTAATATAAATATTGTACTTACCTCAGTGAAAGGCAGGTAGAGCAGTATAAATGAGTCGTCATAGGATATTTTAGTTTGTATAGACTTTGTTAGTGCTGTAGCCTGTTATAAAACTAAGTAAACATCTACGTAAGCTGACGGACTCCCTCCCACCCAGGAAGACCCCTGCATACTCCTAGGAGCACCCCTACCACTGGCTGAGAACCACTGTACAGCGTGTGATCGATTGTTCTTTCTCCTCCCACGCAGACTCTGCAGGGAGCATTTGTTACAGTCATTCAAAAAATCCTTCCCCCCCCACCCCATGGCAGTTGGCTGGAAATGCCACAGGTCACTTAAAAGGTGTGTTTTGAGGGGGTGGTCTTGCCCTCACTGGGCGCTGCAGGGAACCAGCTAGGTTAGTTACCAGAAGCATCCAAGAGGCAGCATGAATCTGACCCTTTGTTGGGATCTGACCCTGTGATTCTGCACAGCGTCTAGGCATTTTCAAACCCGTCAAGGAGGCCGCCTCACCCGGCAGAGCGCAGATGACTTCTCCCAAATGCCGTTCACTAGCAGTAACACACTAGTTCAGAAACCCCTCAGCGTTCCAGTTGCGAATGTGTCTCTCCCAGCCCTAGGATTCTGTGAACACCTACTGAAATCCATTTAGGTGCCTAAATACTTTGGAGGGTTTGGGTTGAAGCACCCTGATAGCGGGTCAGTAGTACTACTGGGTAGAGAATCCAAGAGTGCTGACAGCCCCACTCCGCCTCCCCCCGCTCTAACCATTAGTCTCCACTCCTCTTGCAAAACTGGGACTAGAACCCATCAGTCCTGGTTCCTAAGTTGCCCCTTCTCTAACTACTAGGTGTGACTCCCTTTGCAGCACTGGGCATTGCATCCTACGGTCCTGCTTTCCAGTGCCCCGAACTCAAACCACCAGGAAAATGTCACCTCTGCTAACCAAACCAAACCCACCTGGGGAAAATAGGAAGGGGAATGGCAGTTGTAAGGGTCTTGAGCACAGGCCAAAGCCAGGCAGACTTGGGAGCTGGGGTCGCGCTGTCATTATTCCACTCAAGTAACGTTGCTGGTCACTTGTGTATTTTCCTATCTCCCATTTCTTGCTCTTCCAGCTCAAGCCAGGGCCTCTGCTGCAGCCAGGACTGCATCTATAAACCCCACGGGGAGCTGTGCCAAGAGGAGACAGCCTGCACCTTTGAGAGCACCTGTTCTGGACTGGCAGCTGAATGCTCTGCGCCCCTTCCCAAAGCCAATTACACTCTCTGCAGCATGGGGACCCAGATCTGCTTAAATGGGGTTAGTCCACAGAGCCGACTAGAGCACTTCTGGGGCCAGATGCAGCTGGAGAAACTAAGAGCTGGAAAAGACCCAGGGTGATGCCTGGGCTTACTGTGTGATAGAGGCTGTGAGTTCGTCAGGGGCATTTTTAGTCAAAGTTGTGGACAGGCAATAAACAAAACCGCACAGCTCCTGACCTCTCCATGACTTAAGGCTCTGTCTATACTGCTTCCTTCTTGCACAAAAGCCTATGCAAATGAAGTGCAGATTAGCATATTGCCATGTTTCACTTACATAATTAGGGGCCATTTTTGCATAAGAGGGGTTTTTTGTGCAAAAAGGAGCCTCCTTTGCACAAAAGCCTCTTGAGCAAAAACAGAGCCTAATTAATTATGCAAATGAAGTGTGGCAATATACTAATCCATCTTTCATTTGCATAGGCTTTTGCACAAGAAGGAAGCAGTATAGACATAGCCCCATAAATACCTTTGACTAGCTCTTGAGGGGAGGTTGCTGCTGTAGGGGGGGCAGTGGGGAGGCTGCTATGGGGTGGGCAGCTGTGGCACCAGCTACCAGGAGCCACCCAAGCAGCAGCTGCTCCAACTGCCCCAGGGAACTCTGCCTGAGCCGCCGTCAGTGCAGCAGGCTGCAGTGCACCCGAGTGGCTAGCTGCAGAGTTGCTCCAGCAGCGGCCAGTGTGGTGAGCCCTGGAGCCAGCCCCAGGGTCAGCCACACTGGCCCTTGCAGAAGTCATGGAAAGTCACGGAGCCTGGGTCTTCAGCAACCTCTGACAGAAACAGAGCCCTCTGCATGACTGACAAGCCTCAGTCCTTTCGTCCTTTCGTGCAGTCCTCAGTCCTTTCGTGCAGTCCTCTAATCATC